AGCATGATTTATGTTCTGGTGAGCTCTTAAGAAGACATTCAGCAAGCTTTGTTCCAGTTAAGTGCATGCAAAAGCCACAAAACATGGATTCTTTACCACGAGAACCTCTTACCAAGATTAAATACGGAACCTGATGATCGCATTTGCGTTAGAGAACAATGACCCCTATTTTTAAAATATTTCCACATTTTATACTTGTGGAAAGACTGTTTTCTTATATTTTACTGGGACATTGAAATTAAAGAATTACGTGTAAATTAATGTAAAGGTTACTGGGTTTTGAAAAGTTTTGACTTTGCACTCCATAAGGAACAGCCATAATCCTCAAGCAGGTATTTGTTTCTGACTAGCCTTAGTACACTAGGGATTTTCTTTAAGCCGGGCTTTGTAGTGGCTCCTTTGGACTCATGTATCCCACTCTTAACTCTAAATCAGCTGTAGCTGCCGAGTGCTTGGGAAGGACTGGAGGTGCTGTGTGTTGTACCTGTAGGCGACGTTGGTCTTATGAGGTGACTTCATGGACACAGTTGAAAAAAACATAGGAGCTCTATTTTTGGTTTATTTTATTCTTTTCTATCTGGTTTATTTTTTCCTGTATATGCATGGTTCGGAGACTTCTGTATTTTCACATTACCCTTGCTTCAATCTCAAGTGTATGCCATTGTGATAGGAGAAGTTGAATTGTCCACGAAGGAGTGAATTTAAATGATTTTTTTTTTCTTTTAACGTCTGTTTTATTAACAAATGGACAAACCTGTATTTATCAGGCCCAGTGATGAAAATACTCTGGAATTTGAGTACTACAGACTTTTTCAAAGCAGAAAGTGAGATTATGAAACTGCCCTGCTGTTCCTTAGTGCAATAAATAATAATAATAAAAAAAGAAACCTTAAATTCAGAAACACTTAATTGTACCTGGTGCCTTGTTTTGTTTTTAAATTGAACAGATACTTCCTGTATTCATCTGTTTGTTTTATGATGGATAATTGCATTACCATTTAAAAATAGAACACTGAATCAAGTTATGTCTGGAAAAGGGAAGCTCTGATTTCCTGCTTTTTTTTTTTTCTTTTTTCATGGGTCTGCAGATAAATAGTAGATGGGGCAAAAGGAAGATGTTTCAGCTAAACTGATAATATTGCATTGTAAATTGTGACTGCAAACAGCTGCTTAATTTAGGAGTAATAATTAGGGATCTTTTTCATTTATCTGTGCTGGAGAATAATGAATAGTTTCTTGAGTTCTAGTAAAACTTTTTTTGTATAAACTGTTGATTTGTTCACTGTGGGTCTCTTGGGTGTTAGATGCAATAAAAGTCGTACGAAGGCTGCTCCTGCGTTGCCCAGACAGTCTGATCCCAGTGTGTCGGGTGGAGGCAAGGCCTGAGGAAAAGGGATGTGACACAGGGCAGGGAGTCAGCATTCCTGCCTGAACTGAACAGCGGGAGGATGTGTCCCTGAGGATGTGGAAACCTGCTTGTGACACTGCCCTGAGCAGTTGGCCTCTTACACAGCCCTTGAATAACTTTTCTGCCATGAATCCAGCTGCTTTTTGGGCGCTTTCGTAGCCCAGGATGGAAGATACCCTGAGATGGTGAGTTCTGCAAGGGAGTCAGTATGTAAAAAAAATCCTTGTTTAAAAGTTCTGCCAGACTTCATTTGGTGCCTCCAAGCTCTTACTTTCTGAGACATATTGGAAATTTCCCCCTTTGCACCTTATTGATGCTGGGCATGATCAAATAGACTTTCATCCTGTCATGTCTCAAAGCAGAGGAGTGTATTTAATCTCCTGACGGGAATTCCTTCTGTAGCTTCGTGGTTATCCTTTCTCCTCCACAAATGTTCCTTTTCTAAGCTGGAGGAGACCACAGCTGTTGTCATCACAGGAAATTTGGGTGCCATGGGGTTTTAGAGTGGTGGTTTTCTGCTCTCTGCTTCTGAATTCCTCCTCTTTTTGTAATGTACGGGGGCTATCAGAATTCAGGCTGGGGCAACTTCATATTCTCTTTCCTAAGTAACAACACCTGACAGCTTATTACTATGTCTATAAAATTGCTTTTCTCATGCTTTTTTATTGACACTTAATTTCACACACCGTCATTGCGCAACCATTCAGCACTACAAGATTGATTCCCCTCCCCGACTGTCCCAAAACATTTGTGGCCGTTGCAGGCATTATCTCTTGGCCTGAGTTTTCTGTGCCAAGGCTGGGACCCAGCAATGTGAGGAGCCCCTCACCCAAACCCCATTATTCCCTTCTGCCAGCCCTTTCCATCGGTTCTTCGCTGCCCAGGAGGATTTTCTTCTTTATGCAATAATAATGTTTTGCTTTTAGCAGAAGAATTTTTGAAAGGCTTTTTGGAAACTCAGAAATATTATTCCTTTTGGACCATTTTATTTTCCTGCTGCTTAGCTCCTTCAGAGATGGTGGCAAGATACAACTTCTGCCTGCAGAAGCAAAGCTAATTAACCCTTTCTTATATTTGTGTATTTATTAATCTGTTAGGGAAATGAGGCTCACTGGCTCATAGCCCCTAGCTCTCCTTGGCCTTCTCCATAAATCTCATTCCCTTGGTACTTGGGCTGATTTAAGCCCGGTTATACACCAGAATCATCAACGCAGGATTTACTGAGTTCAACTGAAAAAAAAAACCTTCTGAAACTCCCTTCCTCTTCTGAATCCCCCCTCCACCTGTGGAGCAGCTTCAGCCAGGAATATTTAGCATAATGTTCGTAGCTCTTGCACTGGTTTTACACAGCTAATGTAAAAGCGCATGGCAGTATTTCTGACCCAGAGGAACTCGGAGCTGAAAACCAGCGTCACTTGCCAGTGTAGTTCTGGTGAACTCAAATCCACCATGAACCCCAGGAGCAAAATGCTTATTTGGAGCCTGTCCTGCCCGCTGGGGTTAAGTATGTAAGAACTGAAGAATTAATTAATTTTAAAGGTCTTTAAACTGTCAAAACACTGCAGAGAAAGGTCACAAGTGCAAGGTAGAAAGTCCAACGAGAACCCAGCGTGTTGAAGTGTGAGGGCCACCCAGCAGAGTGCTGCAGAGGAAGCTGCTTAGAAACTGGTTTCAGCCTTTTTAGTTTTTAAAACAAAGTTAATGTCTACCAGCACCCACCCAGCTGCTGGGGGGTGTGAATGCTGTTCTTTACCTGGTGGTGTGAGCCTGGCATTGGGGTTTTACTGGAATGATCCCTGTGAAAACAAGTGCTGCAGGAGGAGAGGCACGTAGGTGAGTTGGGGAGTTCCAGGAGGCAAAATATTGTGGAGAAAATGAACATTTGTCAGCAAGTTTCCTGCTATAGCATCTTAAAAAGTCAGCTGATACATATGTAATATCTGAAAACCACCAGCTGCAAGGATTGAGTACTGATGAAGGGCCAGACAGGCATTTTTGTATTTCTGTTTGAGTGTCAGGGAAGGAACCGTGCACATTCTGAGCAAAGTATTTTCTGTAAGTGATTCCATGCTGTGGAAACTGGAAGAGTTCCTGTTGTTTGCCCTAAGGGTGGAGAAGGGAATGGCAGTAAAAGCTGATGAAATACAATCTGTGGAAATCACCTTTAAACGTGCATCTTAGTGTCTGAGTTCCAGCAAGGTGTTAAGAGGAGTCTGTAAATTTTAAAATTAGCAAATCGGCAAGTTCAACTTCAGCTCAAAACCACCATGCTGTGGTAGAGCCTCACATCACAGCTTCTGACTTGAGAAGTTACTGAAACTTTATTAAAATATAACCTGAGCCTCTGTGTCATTGTTGGCAACAGGGAGGTGACCCTTGAGGTGCTGGTACCACAGAGGCAACCAGCTGCATTCTTGAAGCACTCGGGTGGAAAAAAGCTTTTGGAGAATTAACTGTGAGGAAAGGGCAGCCAGGATGCTGACACTTGGCTGCCAGCAACTGCACGTGACTTCAGGCCAGAGGCAGCAGCTCCTAGACTCCAGTGGCAGGTGTCACAGCGGGGGTGACACAGGCTTTGTTCAGAGCCCAAACCTCCTCCCAGGGCCTCGGAGCACACCCAGGCACCGAGGCAGATGAATGTGACTCCTCAGGGTAGAACAGAACTAATTTAAATATCTTCTTGAGGCACCTGTTCCTCTTCTCTTGTCTTTAAGAGTGGATATAGTTAAACAGGAGGGATGTTGACTGTTACAGGCACATTGCTGTGAGATTCTCTCCAGCCCACACCTGATTTATTTTCTATTAGCTATTTTTCTAGTGTTAGCATGTAGAAGTGCTGGGCCAGAATCTCACCCACACAGCTACTGCACAGTGTCTCTTCCTACCATAACCAGATACAGAAATCCCCACCTGCTTGGTTCATCACAGATTTTCAGTATAAAAACCTCATTTTGGAATGAGGGGTCTTGTTCCTACACATCCCTGGACACACTAAGAGCAGGACTGTGACATTTTAAAATGAGTTCTTACTAGTTCATAAGGGGTGAGCGCTCCAGGAAAACTTTCATGCTTGACTTTCCCTTGGTTTAAAAGTAGAGCTGAGGGGATTTTTTTAAAAACAGCTCCGGTGATGCAATTTTTATCTGGTTACATTACCCCAGCGTGATTATCTTAAAAAGGCAGTGGAGAAGGAGTTACCCTTCACTTCTCCCCTTTTCCTTCCCCTGCACGCTGGTGCAGAAGCCAGCCTCTGGGGACTAGGAGTCTGCACTTAGCTGTGAGGAGTTACAGGCTATTCTCCTTCCTCACAGAGGCTCGTCCCAATTCTCAGGCTGTGCAGAACAAAGTCAAACTGAAATTCAGCTGCTGCTCCAGCAGCCCAGCCTCCCTTCTGCTTGGTACATTCCCTGGAGCAGCCCGGAGGATGGCAATGTGGAAACACCAGCGCAGCAGTTCAGCGGCAGCAGCCGCGTACACTGTCGGTACCGAGTGATGTTAAAGGGGAAGTAGATGGTGTTTGAATTATTATTATATGGGAAAAAAGCTCATTAGGCATGCAGGCAGAACAGTAACACAAATACATGAAGTTTTGAGGCAGTGAGTATTAAAGACTCCTAAATAGAGAAAGATGCTGTACAGTTTCCTTCCCCCAACCCCAAAATTTACACCAAAATTTGGAAGGGAGCAGCTGTGTCACACAGGCAAGTAGCAGTGAGAAACTGAAGGGCAGGAGTGAGATGTCTGCAGGTGTCTGCTGTAGCCACAAAGATGCACCATGCTGGTATTCGTTACCGTGATACCGATCTGAACACTGTATCCTTTGTTGCCAGATGTGCAGCCAGGTTCTCTCGAAAGTCATGGAGGTAATTGTATTGCTGAAAAAGCACAACCAGACCTGGAATGAGTGCTTGATGCTTTAAGAAAAGGCACTACCCATCTTAAAAAGCTGTTTGATACCCCAAGGCGAAAACTGCACCCTCTAGTCTGTTTATTTGGTCTCGTGCTTACTCAAATCCTCTGGAATTTTTCACCAACAGACATGAATTATGTGGATCCTGGCTGGGCTCCTGTGGTTCCTCAGAAAGGGCTCACAGGAGCTCATGGTAACACAAAACGTGGCCCTCAGTAGGTGGGAGCTTCACGTCAGAATTCAGAGCTTTATTTGGGTCACCAGGAGCATTACTCTCTCCATAACAAGCCCATGATGCAGAACACAGCCTTTAGCTGGTATGATGATGTACAACAATTTATAGTAACAGTTTTTAGGTCAGTTCATACATCATGTGGAGTATTGATTATGCAAGTGTTCAAAATGAGATAAAAAGGTTGGTCAGCAGAGGCTAAAGGACAGATCACCCATTCCAAGTGGCTGCCAGGGCTTTCAGTTATAACATTTGTCCATATCCTCCCCCACCTCGTCAGCCAAGGATGTAAGCTGCTCCCCACCTGCTCTCTTGGTTTGCGAGAAATTGATTTTCAACAAGTAGTTTAAATAAAATTTGCCTTCCAGAGGGGCTCACCAGCTAGCAAAGAGACAGTCTTTAGGAAACAATTTGTCCTCAGAAACTACTATTTTGTAAACTTTTAAAATGTCAGCTCCTCTTTCCTGTGCACAGAACTGTTCTAAGAGCATAACATCTAGGACTCCTATCAACAAATATGTACACAGAGGAGCTAAAAATCCCATCAAAAGAAGAAAAAAACATTATTTTCAGCAACTTTAGCTGTAGGTTTTAACACTAGTGCTAGGGATACTTCTTAAAAGAAGACTGCCAGTACAAGACTGACGTGATAGCCACGGAAGATGAATGTGGCTAGCTGGGTTAGGAAGATGAACAAAACCAAGGCAGAAAAGCCATGCAGATGCCCAAGTTGAGGAGAATGTGAGCAACAGAAAAAGGGACAATAATTTAGTGAGTGATGAGCAGGGATAAGGGAGGAGAAAGCAGCAAGTTACTAATGATGGTGAAGAGCTGACAGGAGAACAGCTGCTGAACTCAGTAGAGGCAGAACACGGCAGAATCAGCATGAGAACAGAGAGCTGAAAGCGGCTCAAACCCAAGAGAGTAGCAGCTGTGGGGCATCACAAAGCCAGAGGGATCCCTTTGGGAACTGGAGGCGAGGACTGTCCGAGCTCTCCGCTCTTGTTTCAACATGTGTATTACCTGCCGTAGCCTCATTACCTTGATGGTCTGTATTGCCCCAGATCCTCTCAAGTTTCTGAGGCTCTCGATCACTTCCTGAGGTGCCAGCGCATCCAAAAGCTGAAGCAGGAGACATGCAGCTACTGGAAGGGAAAGGTACATACACGTGTGTGCTACTGAGCACCTCCTGCTGTACACAGTACCACTTCTGCACAGTAATAAGTTTCTTCCATGAAAACCCCTCCAGCAAAACTCAACCTCATCATATCGGGATCACAGATCTGTCAGATCTTTTGGTGAATGCTATTTGTTGGTGCTGGCTCCACCTGCCTGCTGCTCCTGTCCAAGCCTGCAGGCTTTGGAAATAGGTGAAAACCCTCCTGCTTTTTTCCTCCTGGCCTTTCTAGCAGCATTTGGGAAGCAAATACTAAAGACTTTTCAAGAACAAGTCCCAGTACACCCTGTTAAATCCTCTTTGTGCCTTCTAACCACATTTGCTTTTTTGGCAATCTCACCACTCATCACTTCTGGGGCACACACAACACCACCCCTGAAAGCTTTAGGGGGAATGTTGGGCTGAAAAGAGACAGAGGAATAGGATCATCTCCTTTCTTGAGGAGATGTTCAGGGAAACAGGGAAAGTGCAATCCTATCGGTCAGACAAGGCTAAAATTTGCAGTGAAAATGGAGAAAGAGAAAGTTAGAGAGAACTTTCTATCAGCCTCACTGAAAGACTGGCCCTGCCTGACCCTCCATCCCCTCACCTACATTCTGAGAGCTGTACCATGACATAGAATCACCTCGGTTGGAAAAGCCCCTGAAGCTCCTCCAGCCCAACCATGACCCTCCCCCTGACCATTCCCAACTCCCCCAGATCCCTCAGCGCTGGCTCAGCCCGACTCTTCAACCCCTCCAGGGATCCCGGGGACTCCCCCCTGCCCTGGGCAGCCCATTCCAACGCCCAACAGCCCCTTCTGCACAGAAATCCTTCCTCAGAGCCAGCCTGACCCTGCCCTGGGCAGCTTGAGGCCATTCCCTCGGGGCCTGGCGCTGGCTCCTTGGCTCCAGAGACTCATCCCCCCTCTCTGCCCCCTCCTGGCAGGGAGTTGCCGAGGGCCAGGAGGTCTCCCCTCAGCCTCCTCTTCTCCAGACTGAACCCCCCCAGTTCCCCCAGCCGCTCCCCAGCAGACCTGTGCTCCAGACCCTGCCCCAGCTCCGTTGCCCTTCTCTGGCCACGCTCGAGTCATTCAATGGCCTTTTTGGAGGGGCCCAAAACTGAACCCAGGTGTGGCCTCACCAGTGCTGAGTCCAGGGGGAAGATGCCTTCCCTGTCCCATACTCTTGTCACTCATCAGAAACAGTTTCTATACAGGCAGCTAACATCACTACCATTTGACAACACCTTTCCCAAGAATCTGGCTCTTTCAGAAAGTGCTGTCTCATGAGGTCTGTGGGATGGGTTAGTTAATCAGGGCAGAGAAGGGGAAAGCAACTGCTTACTGAGACACGAACGTCCGAGGCCGCCGTAACAGCTGAAAAAGAGGAGAGAAGGTTTGGCTGTGACAACCTGCAACACTCATAGCCCCCTCAATATGTAAATATACAGACACAATTCTTGCCTTATTATAACCAAGAGGAGCACTGGTACAAAAAAGTTAGAATAAGAATTTCTATAGAAATACCTACAAGTCTTATCTCCCATTTATTCTTCAGACCTTAAGTAGTGTCCTTCTAAAGAAAGTGCAATTTTAAAGTTCTCCTTCGTTCACGGTAAATGGTTTCAAAGGCACATGAGGACAGACAATCTCAATTTTCTTTAAATTCTACTCCAGCTTAAGGCTTTGATGATAGTTGTGAGCTAATGACAGCAGCAGGGACTCAGAGGATGTCTGTGCAGAGAGCTGTCAGCAGCATCATTCTGAGAACAAGGCACTCTGAAAGCTTTTCCCCTCCACCCTGAGCTCAGCGACAAGTGTCTACAGAAATTACTTTAAACCAGTTTCATGCAATTTAAGAGTGAATTTTGCACTGCTGGAATCCACCAAATCCCTGATAAACAGCCCCAGGGTGTGTTACCCTCTGACAAACAGCTGCTTTAGCTAACAACTCGTACTGTACACCTGATACCCAGGCTGGGCTAGCAGCAAGGAGCCCTGTGGTGCCATCCAACACATGCTTTGAAGCTCTTGCTGGATGGAGCAAGGGGAAATGGGAGATTCATATCTTACAAAAGACAAGTTAGCTCCAAAAGGGTGCAGGAGGAGAAACAAGCAGCTTTTCACAGCTGAACTAACCCTAAAGAACGCAACTGGAATTTGACAGAATTCTGTTGCAGCTGGTCATGCATTTGGAGAGAAGCCAGTGTCTTTTACAGGAATGTGAGGTGAAAGGGAGGCAACAAGGACCTACTGTATAATTGTTTTCCGGTTACTTTCCAGGCAGCTTCTGAGCTCTTCCAGAATTTTGCAGCACTTGGCAATGTCAGGAGCGTCCCCATCAGGAATAGGATAGTGGTGCACACAGATCCCATGCTGTTGGTAGGCGTCTATAAGGTTTGGTACTCGGTATTTTAAGAGCTCTCCTCTGGTACAAAGCACAAATATATCCTGGGTCCCATAGTTCTTTAGTTCTTCTGCCAAAAGATTAAGACACTTGCAAATAAACCAAAGCCTATCAAGCTTAAGGATAAACAGTGAAGCTACTTGGTATCGATTCACTTGTTTAATCTTTGAGGTTAAGACAATAGGAGTTAGCAATTTTGCTTTGAGCAGCATTTACTTCTACTGAGTCCCTCCCACACTTGCCTTCAGGTAACTTATGAGGGGAATTTTCTGAGTTCAGAGTCTCAAGACAAGCCTCACAAGACAGCACATCAGCACCCAGAACAGTCTGTTAACAGCTGCCAGCATAAGCATGATTCTGTCCCATCTCCAGACGTGACTATTTCCAAACACTGTGGGCTTCTGCTATTAATCTCTACTCTGCTGGTGTTTACAGACAAATACTAGGCACAAATCTTTACATGATTTCATCTTTTCTATTCCAATCTCTATTTTCTCTGGGAAGAGGAAATTACAAGAGTCCTGGTTTTGGCTGGGATAGTTAATTTTCTTCCCAGTAGCTGGTACAGCGCTGTGTTTTGGATTTAGTGTGAGAATAATGTTGATAACACACTGATGTTTTAGCTGTTGCTAAGTAGTCAAGGATTTTTCAGTTTCTCATGCTCTGCCAGTGGGGAGGTGCACAAGAAGCTGGGAGGGAGTGTGGCCAGGAGAGCTGACCCAAACTAGCCAAAGGGCTATTCCATATCCTGGGACATCATGCTCAGTATAGAAACTGGGGGGAGCCGGCTGGGGGTGGGTTGCTGCTGGGGGACTGGCTGGGTGTCAGTCAGCGGGTGGTGAGCAATTGTGTTGTGTATCACTTGTCTTTTCTTGGGCTTTACTTTTTTTATTAGATTCCTTTTCATTATAAATATTATATTTTTTATTTTAGTTATGAAACCATTCTCATCTTAACACACAAGTTTTATTTTTTTCTTTCTGATTCTTTGGGAGGAGTGAGAGAGCAGCTGCATAATGCTTAGCTGCTGCCTGGGGTTAAACCAGGACACAAGTTTGTAATTCATTTTGAACGCAGCTGCTCTGAAGATGCCTTCTCCTGCACCCAACTTAGCAGACCTTGTGGTTACTGTGAAAGATATGCAGAGGCCTGTATAGCTCCAGCCTGGAAATACTCTGACTACTTACTGAATATTTGCAGAAGCCACCAAGTGGCACTGCACACCTGAAAGCGATTCTGCGTATTCGTAACCTTGGCTGTGCCAAGATATTTGCTGCATCTCCAAGTACAGTGTTGCCAAAACTCAGAAAGACATTGCTGTCAGATGTACCAAGACTTTGTAAAGAGCTGCTGTGCGTTCTAACACTGTGGCATGTACACGGACAGCTACAACATCCATCAAAAGTATAAATCAACCACCACCATTTTAGACACCTGGTGTCTGGAGCCTTAGATTAAACAGCAACCCCAACAGTCTCCAGGCTAAGACAAAATAAACCTCTAGCTTCTCAGTAACCTATGCTTCCAGTTTACCTGCAGTAATGTTGTTCAACCAGTTACCAACCAGTTACGTTGTTCATGGAAGTGAGAGGCACTTATACTTGAGACTCACCTATATCTTTCTGAAGATTTCTTCTAACATCCTTAAACCTGCAACCTAAAACAAATTACGAAGGACAGTTACCACTCCAGGTAAGAGACCTTTACAGAACAGCTGCTAGAATAGAGCACAGACAACCTTGCATCAAAACCAAACAAAGTAACAAAGCTACACCCCAAATAAAATACAGTTCTTATTTTTGCAAATAGATCGTCAGTGCAGAAAACAGTTCAAACACCATTATCTCCTTAATACTGTAATAGGATTCAAAGTAATCTGCCCAAGGTTTTAAGCTTCTATGCATTTTCCAGATGAAAAGGTTTGGATACTATAAATCAGGGTGCAGCTTAAAAAAAACCCCACAACAAATAAAAGGGCTGGATAGAAATCACTTAAGAGTTATCTGATTGACTGACAGGAAAGTAAGTTAGTTCCCTGTTCACTAATACTCAGCACAAATCACATAAAAAAATCCTCCTTACTATTAAATTCTCAGCATAATGCCACTTCCATTTTTTCCTCATATCATGCTACCAAGGCATTTTTGCAACCCCTACAGAACACCACGCTGCAATATCCATAGTTATTGTTTGGTTTGTGAGATGCAGCTGCTAAAAATATTTGCACTGTGTCCTCCCTCTGCTTCCCTCCTTGTCTCACAGCCCCATTGGCACACAACCTTTCTGTCTGCCCTGACAACAGTCAGGATTGTGCATTGAAACACCTTCTGAATGCCTGACAGCAGAATCCTGCAGACCAAGAGCAGGACTGGCAGGGCTACGACTGGAGATTATCATCTGAAGATTAAATAGCTATTACCCGAACTGCTCAGGTAGCTAAAAAAAATATGCAGCAATTTTTTGACATATCTACATTCACTGGCTTTCAAGCACTAGTGGGATTTTCATCAGCACTGGCCATCATCCACTTCCATATATCTTAAATTCAAATATTATTCAACATTTGTTTTCTAGTTCTTCAGTATGGCATTAGCCCCAAGCTTGTATTTCTCAGCGTTGGGTAATGGAAACTGATTAACTGCTTTAAATGAAGAAGGGAAAGTTCACACTGTCATCACCAGCAGTTCCATCTCTTCTGTGATCAAAGGAGATTCACCATGGCTGCAGTTTTGGTAGTTAAAAATACAGCAAAAGTGTGTATGTTTATTTTTATATCATGGCCATGGTAGTGCAACCCAGTCACTAAGGGAGAGCAATACAGAACTGTCAGCACAACAAGTGAATGTAATTTGAGCCCAATATATCTTATAAAGGAATTATTTGTCAAAGCAGTCTTGCTTTGCTATTGTTGCTTGTTATAAATAGTAAGCCAGGCTCAAAAGACAAATATTTTAACTGACAACGTAAGAGAGCCACTATTCTCTTACCACTCTGCCATATGATCTTGCATTAAGATATTCTCTAGATTAGTTTTGGTACTTCTGAAACAATTACTCCAGTAGCACAAAACAAGTCACCCCATCCAGTAAACGCAACACAGAGTTTTGGAGTACAAGGTATTACACCTCTCTTCAACTTCAAACACGTCTGCAAATTTCAGTGAATGCTTCTTACCTGGGAGGGAACATAATCCCAGGAACTGAGAAGAGTAGACAGGGGACAAAGACAACCTATCAGAAAATAAAAAAACCCAGAGCATTTTGATTATCTGAATAGGGATAACTCACTACTAGACATACCTTTTCTGAGGGACCTATAATTCAAATTTAAGAATAAAGTGGAAGTATTCCAGTGTTATTTCTAGAACATTAGACAAAGGAATCACACGTTTGGTAGTGTACTTCATCACGTACCCGTGCCCAGGAGGACAGAAAGTGTTGACAGACCTCCCTGTTAGCACCCGAGACAATTGGGCTAGCAAGACCGACAGTGACTGGCAAACGCTTCCAAAAGCGGCCTGGCCCCACACCGCCTGACAAGTCGCCAGCATGAACTTAACCCCTTGTCAGGGGCACCCTCAGGCCAAACACAACCGCTGCCCTCCCTCCGGCAGGTCACCAGAGCCCGGCACGGGTTTCCTTCAGGAAAAACCTCCCGTTTGGCCGCAGAGGAATTTAACGCAAATTCCCGCGTAGTTGCTGATGGGGAAAAAGGCGGGATCGTCTCACCAGGAGATGGGGAGCGGCTTCAGATCTTCCTCAGCGGCGTCTTCGTCAGAGGAGTCAAAGCCGCCCGCTTGCATCGCGCAGGGCTCCGGCGGGAGGAGAGCGAGAGACTCACCCGGGGAACCCGGCCCCGGCCCCG